TAAATATCGCATTGTTTGCAATGTCTTTCTTACTTTGGGACAACTAGTTGGTGACGTTCACTCAACTATTGTGTTGGAAGCGTTAGCTTCACACGATTATAAAGTTAGTTCATCTTGTTCACTTGAAAACAAGACCTTACACCGATTATTCACTCCACGTGCAATCTTGCAACAGATCGCGTTCCTCTGGCGTTCGCTGCGGGTGTGCCAATATCATTCCAGAGTGCTTCGAAGAAGGGCCATTGCCCAAAACGTCGCATATTATACATGTCAAGGAAGTGTTATTGACGACGGTGGAGGGTTTTCTTCGTCGCAGAGGTTAAAGGTGGAAGGTTTAAGGCGGAGCCATCGCGGAGGGCAGGGGTGGTCGGTGACGTCGCCACGCTTCGGGTATAAAGGCGGCTGCTGCTGCAAGCTGAGCGCGCAGTCTCTCGCGAGGAGCTTTGTCACAAGTAGTCGCAATGTCTGGACGCGGTAAAGGCGGTAAGGGGCTCGGCAAGGGAGGCGCAAAACGCCATCGCAAGGTGCTGCGCGACAACATCCAGGGCATCACCAAGCCCGCCATCCGCCGCCTCGCTCGCCGCGGCGGTGTGAAGCGCATCTCGGGCCTCATCTACGAGGAGACCCGCGGCGTCCTGAAGGTCTTCCTTGAGAACGTCATCCGCGACGCCGTCACCTACACGGAGCACGCCAAGCGCAAGACCGTCACCGCCATGGACGTGGTCTACGCCCTCAAGCGCCAGGGCCGCACTCTCTACGGCTTCGGAGGCTGAGCGCCCATCTCTCGCACACTAAGCCAACCCAAAGGCTCTTTTCAGAGCCACCCACCTCTTCGAAACTGCTTGCGCCAGTGTTGCCAAACACGCTCTGAATGGAGCACATGTCCTGGGTTGTTGTGAGCGTGCTGGACGTTCGCTTGTTGAGTTGGCGAATCTTCATCTGCTTCCACATGAATGAATGAAAGAAATGATATTCACGTCACATTTAACAAGGCGTAATTCTTGAACGCCTTAATACAGAACCCATTTCTGGTATTTTTGCGTGAATTATTTCCAGCTGCAGCCGATTCCGATATTACGTAGAGCATTTGGCGCCACAATCTTACAGCACACTCGTCCTAATTGACGTAGCGTGCCGGAATGCTAATCTCCACCTGTACAGCACAACAGCGAAGTTATTTTTCTCCACCGAGCGCTTGTATTTTTCCAAATTGCGTTCATAAAACGCCCGTGCGCCGTATTAGACGAGTGGTGAAACAATCCCTCGTAAGAAACAAAAAAACCCACGCTCAAAACACAATATACTGAATTGGGTTTTCTAGTCATCCTTTTTAAAGCAAAGGCAATGCCATGGCTGCAATTCACTAATACACATGTTTGGACATTACATTGTGTTATATTCTCAAGTCCTTTTTGCAGTAAAATCGATATTAAAGTGAACATCGCGTCCGCGTTTCTCATTGGAGGCTGATGGAGAGGGACGGTACTAAAAGAGCCACTCAGCAGCGACGCGCAGCGAGACGATTCCTCTGATTTGCATCTCGCGCCTCCGTATAAATGAGAGCTCAAGCGCGCAGGACGACATCCACATTCGCTGTCCGGTCTGTTGCTGCCCTGAAGCTGCTGCTGCCTACGACAGCGTCGACAGGCCCGTGATCCGTCAGCCGCAATCAAAGCAGCGCTGGGGCCGGCCAAGGGGTTCCTGCTCCCAAGAAGGGCTCCAAGAAGGCTGTGAGCCAAGGCTACGCGCAAGGATGGCAAGAAGCGACGCCACCGCAGGAAGGAGAGCTACGCCCATTTACATCTACCAAGGTGATGAAGCAGGTGCACCCCGAGTACCGGCTATCTCGTCCAAGGCAATGAGCATCATGAACTCGTTCGTCAACGACATCTTCGAGCGATCGCGCTTCCGAGGCGTCCCGCCTGGCGCACTACAACAAGCGCTCCACCATCACTTATCGGGAGATCCAGACCGCAGTGCGACTGCTGCTCCCCCGGCGAGCTGGCCAAGCACGCCGTGATCGGAGGGCACCAAGGCCGTCACCAAGTACACAAGCTCCAAGTGAAGCCTCGACTCCACCATTAATTACAAGGCTCTTTTCAGAGCCACCCACCTCTCCGAACCTGCTTGTACCAGTCCTAGCAGGAGTACTAAACGAAACTTCCAACAAGCCCCGGTTCACGCTGGGGACATTGTTCGCTCATTGAGTGGAATGGAGAGATGGAACGCATTTTAACCTGTTTCCACGGGAATAAAAGCGATAACAATATTCATGGCACATTCACCAGCAGGCATTTCTTTGACGTGTTTGTCCATTGATTTCACCTGCAGCCCATTCAGATATTACATTGGATATTTGGTGCCAAAACCTTGCAATGCAATATATTTTAATTTCGTGGTTGTATTTTCGGGCAGGAACTAACATTTTGCACGTGTACATTCTATGTAAAAGTAAGCGCCTAGCATGGATGACTCGTGCAGTATAATTGATGATCATCTCAATGCCAAGAGAATAGATATCTATCCCTGTGATCACCTCTTTCCGACAATTTTACTTATTAACTTTGGAGCTTTCGTGACTGCAGGAATTATTCTTTGGTTCTTTCGGTAAAGTCACGTATATAAAAAACAAATTGGTGATATCTTTCTGCATATATGTCTGTCTATAATTTTTTCTGGTTCGATTTTATGTCGCTATTTCATTATACCTGATTATGATTGTCTTGTGTTGCCAATCGAAACGTCGTATGCTATTATTTAATTTATTATTTTTCTTTTACGTGACTTTACCGAAAGAACCAAAGAATATTTTTTACGTATTACTGTTTCCAATGAAGTGCAGTTTCTTCACACTTTATTTAGATCATGCGGAGCCACTGTAAGTTGTTTTCGGAAAGGTGTTTGCTTGAGAAAAGAAGATCCGTAAAGACATGGACGGCGCTCAAACGGTACTACTGCATCGTGATGCGGCATTCTGCAATGCTCCAAAGTGAGAACATTTCGTTGATGAAGAAGAGTTGACGACTCGAGATCATTGCACGCTGCCAACCAATCAGCACGCGCCCCTTCTTCGCACGTCACGACTCCGCTGACCAGTGAGCGCGCGCTCTGGGCTACATAAGCCCGCCTTCTCCTCCCCGCCTGTGAGAATCTTTGCCCTCACCAAGCCATGGCTCGCACCAAGCAGACGGCTCGCAAGTCCACGGGCGGCAAGGCCCCCCGCAAGCAACTCGCCACCAAGGCGGCCCGAAAGAGCGCTCCGGCCACGGGCGGCGTCAAGAAGCCTCACCGCTACAGGCCCGGCACCGTCGCTCTGCGCGAGATCCGCCGCTACCAGAAGTCCACCGAGCTGCTCATCCGCAAAACTGCCTTCCAGCGCCTCGTCAGGGAGATCGCGCAGGACTTCAAGACCGACCTGCGCTTCCAGAGCTCCGCTGTCATGGCTCTGCAGGAGGCCAGCGAAGCGTACCTTGTCGCGCTCTTCGAGGACACCAACCTGTGCGCCATCCACGCCAAGCGCGTCACCATCATGCCCAAGGACATTCAGCTCGCCCGCCGCATTCGTGTGCGAGCGCGCTTGAACGCCCAGCTCGGCCCTCAAAGCACAACACAAAGGCTCTTTTCAGAGCCACCACTTACTCGTGAGAAAGCTTCCATGTGTGTCCTTCAAAGTTCGGGTGCCGGAAACCTTCGTTTGCTGGTCACGGCTCTCACGAGTCGTCAGGCGTAAGCGACAATCAAGTTCATTTTCTATACCCCGCCGCTCATTCTGCAACATCACACGTTGGTGTTGTGTATAAGCGTTGTGAAACCATGTTTACATAATGTACAACAAAAGAGTTATTTTGGTGAAATGTATTTTACCTCGGAGTCGCGTGGTGGTGTGGAGGCCTAGCACCGTGCAGAGCCTCCCGCCTCGCCTGATTTTGCCACCCGGCTGACGCTGGGTACGGGTGCCGTTTCCCCCCCCCCCCCCGCGCTTCAATAATACTGTGTAATCGCTATAATTTTATAATCTACCGACCCTATAATAGTAATAGCACACATTGTGGTGGGGGGGGGAGTAAAGAGGACGTGAAACTTAGATGAATTTACCTCAGAGTCGCGTGTTAATGCGTGCGCCTATTTTTAACGGGAATTAAAGATGGCGTCCACCCCGCAACTGCTAGCCCGTCGCTAGCCGTTGCCAGGGGCAACCGGCGTCCAATGAAAGCGGCGAAGACGTCGCTAGGCGTTGGCAGGGGCAACCGGCGTCCAATGAAAGTGCGTATGGTCCGACATCCACACACAGACAGACAGACATTCACGATTTTATATATATAGATTAAACCCAAAGATATTGGTTCATGTTGTTTCAAGCCCGAGCTGATAAGAAGTTCACATTTTGCAAACTGAGACTGAATTATTCACGCACATATATTTTTAGGCATTGCCCGAACAGGCGGTTAAAGAAAAATATCTATACACCGTATAGGCACGTGGGCGATCAATCACGAGCTCAAGGCTATCACAATGATTTATTATAACCAATGCGGTCCCTCAAAATGATGATTATAATCAATAATACATTGATATTTGCGGAATCCGCTTATAAGTTTGACTTGCCAGCACGCGCCCATGAATTAACTCTATCATGCTTAAAACTTGAACCTATTAAGTACGTGTATCGCATTGTTTAATTCATAAGATGCGTGTCCGCATTAAAATATATATGGATACAAATAATGAAAGTCAACATCGAATCCTCGCGTCCCGGCTTGTCATTGGTGGCTCAAGGAGAGGGCGGGACTCGAGCGAGAGGAGCCAATCAGCAGCGGCGCGCTCTACGATCCTCGTCTCCGCTATAAAAGCCGCTCCCGTGGTGCGTGTTAACGTCACAAAATCGTTCGTACTTTGTCTCCAGTGCTTTTTGCATCCTAGGTCCGTTAACGATGTCTGGACGCGGGCAAGACCGGTGGCAAATCTCGCGCCAAGGCAAAGTCCCGCTCTTCCCGCGCCGGCCTGCAGTTCCCCGTGGGTCGCGTTCACAGGCTGCTCCGCAAGGGCAATTACGCCCAGCGGGTCGGCGCTGGAGCACCCGTCTACCTGGCCGCCGTGCTCGAGTACCTTTCTGCCGAGATCCTCGAGCTGGCTGGCAATGCCGCCCGCGACAACAAGAAGACGAGGATCATCCCCCGACACCTGCAGCTCGCCGTGCGAAACGACGAGGAGCTCAACAAGCTCATGGGCGGCGTGACTATCGCCCAGGGCGGTGTGCTGTGTGGTGCCACAACGACGGGGCCGCTCTGCCGAACCAGGGAGCCGCCCGGCTTCCCCCACCGCACTGCCCCCCATCACCCGCCCCACATAAGCACACACCCGCACGCATTCCCCCCCCCCCATAGAGCTGGAAGGGAAGGTCACCTGATCGACCGGTTTTTATCCGAGAGACCCTTATCGGGATTAATTCTCACGGTTTCCGGCGATCAGGGAATTGGATGACCTCCCCGTGCTACGTGGCACCGCGGCGCTGCGGCCGGCCTTAATATGGTAGGTCGTGGCGTGGGGCATTCGGCCACCGCGGTTGAGGCGCATTTCCCCCCACACACACTCCCACGGGTCGACGGGGGCGAGCAGGGGAGGCACGGGACAGCATGAATAGCGGGGTCACAGGGGCTGTTGCGCATAGTCATGGAGGGTTGGGATAATTGCGCTTGAGCGCGCAGGCCCCATTGTTAGGGAGGGTAAGGGATTAAGTAGGATTTACGCCTTGCACGCGGCACACTGATTAGCATATCAACAGCACCCAGAACCGCCGTGCGCGTGCCAGAGGATCGCGAGCCCATTGTTTAGCGCAGCATCCCCTTGAAGGTAGGGAGGATAAATAGAGGGGCGCAGAGGGAAAATAGCTCCCTTCTCTCCAGGCCAGCGGACCAGCAGGACTTCCAGCCAGCGACCCGGACGTCCGTGCGACGCATCGAGGTACGCTGTTAGCGCAGAGAGCAGCGAACCTCCGCGGGCACCAAACAGTGAGTGGGGAGGTGAAGTAGGGTATCGTAAGCCGATAAATAGGGAATAGGTACAGGTTTAGTGGAATAGGCCAGCCTCGTCGACTCACTGATTCAACATCAATTCGCAGGTGGCATATAATAAATCATTAATAGCGAAGCGTGGTCTCGCGTGATCTTGTCGTGCAGTGTGAGCGTGTGGGTGCGCTGTGTGCACAGTGGTTCGCCACGTGAGTGAGCGCTGCGCGGAGCTGAGCGCGCGGGTTGCGTGTGGGAACGCGTGTGGTACTGTGTGTGCGTAAGCTCGCGGCGTGCGTAATAGGCGTACCCCAGGTGCGCGATCATAACGCAAGCGGCCAGCAGACGGCGAGCGCTGCGCAGAGCGGCGCAAGAGTGGGTGTCGCGTGTGTTCACTCCGTGTGTGATACAGGTGCGCGAACATAACTTGCGTAGTTGGAGTGCACGGAGCGGCGTGTGTGTGTGTGCATACGTTCGTTACATGTCGGACACGGATGCGCATTGGTAACGTGCCGCACAGGGCTATACTGCGAGCACGGCGTTTGATTGACGATGATGTGCGCACGTATGCTCGCAGCGTGGGAGCGCGGCGCGAGGCTGTAACCGTAGTGGCGTCGCATTCGAATGCCGGCAAAACCGTAGCGAGTAATAGGGAGGTGGGGTAACTTAAACGGAATAGGGGATGCTGGCGGGAGGGACCCCGGGGGCCAACGGCCCCCACAAATTGGTGTCGGAAGCGGTACGGACCCCCGCGTTACCTCACGCTAAAATAAGACTAATATTTACCGGCCGGGGGGCCCCTTCGTGGAAGGCATTCGCCCGCAATCTCTTAGGGGCCAAGGAAATTAATGGATGGACGGACGCGCAGGCAGTACGTCAACTTAATATGAATCTTGATGGGCGGGCAGCCGATTTTGTAGAAGCGTTACCCGCGAGCGCACAGACACAGCTAGAGGAGCTGATGCGCCGACTCGATCAGCGGTTTGGCACGCGTGACGAGGAGGAAGCAAAATCGGCCTTAGAGGCGCGCCGGCGCCAACCTGGCGAAGATCTACGTGATTACGCCGAGGATGTGCGCGAGTTAACAAAGATCGCACGCCCGGGGTACGCAACTGATGTTATTGAGGAACTGGCCGCCGAGAAAATCCAGCGGTACCTGTCTCGCACGGCGTGGTGGCAGCCAGACATGAGCTGCCCACGTCTTCCCTTTAACGCCCTTGTCGAGCGCGCACGTAAGTGTGAAAGAATTCACAGCGAACGCGCGCAGCTCCGGGGGCTGGGACGAGAGCGCGCCATTGCGAGCCTGCTCTCGGAAGACGAGGAGGAGGAACAGGAGCTCGCGAGGACGGTAAGGGGCCGGGAAAGAGAGCCTCCAGTGTCCCGCGAGACAACCCCGGGATGGGTTGCCGGTATACAAACGGGTATAAAGGATGTCTCCGGCCAGGTAACCCAGATAGACAACAAGGTAACTCACGTAGGTGAGAGGGTAACCCAGGTACGCGAGGAAACGAATAAAAATATGACCCAACTGCAATCCTCCGTTGAGACCATCCGATCCGAGATGGGGGAACTAGACTCCACGGTAGGAGGGCTAACTGGAAGGATAGCGCGACTAGAAGCAGAGTATGAGCAGCAGCGCACTGGGGAGGAGGGAGTGGGCAGAGAGCCCACTACGGAGCCGCCACCCCTCCCCGGGCATGTTACATGTGCGATCGCCGAGGGCATCTAGTGAGGGACTGTCCTCAGGTCGCCCGAGCTAGACAAGAGCTAAGGTCAAACACTAAGGCCCCCCTAGAGAGGGGACCACCGGGGGGTGAAATCGACGTAGCCCCGACACAAACAAGCTGTGAGAATAATGGCGAGCGAGTGATCTCCACACAGGTTCCAGCAACAACGCCCACAGAAACGGTGACTCCTGGCGACTGGCTGCGGGAGCTGGTGGCGGGGATCACGGGGGCCACGTCGCTGGTGGAAGGGGAGGTAAACGGAGTGCGTACCCGCATCCTACTGGACACGGGGGCGGTGGCCTCGCTCGTGAGCGCAGCGCACTGCAGCGCGATCGGGGTCGACGTGCGTCACCTGCAGGCCCCGGACCGCGCGCTGCACACGGCGAGCGGAGCCGGAATGGGGCTGCTGGGGAAAGCCACCCTAGAGGTCCGCATAGGCAGCCAGGTATGCACGCAGGAGTTCTACGTGTCGAGTGCGTTGTGTCACGAGTGTATCGCAGGCACCGACCTCCTAGAACGGTTGGGACTCAACGTGCAACCCCGCCAGCGATGCGCCACCATGGAGAGCAACGGCGAGCGGATACCGTTCCTGGGACGAGAACCAACGCGCCGCCGCTTTGCACCTGTGGCCGCTATCCTGGCGACGGCAGTCACCATCGGCCCGCTCACCGAGATGCTGGTGCCGGTGGCAACATCCCCCACCGACCCCGCGCTCCGACCATCAGGGGAGGTAATGCTAACTCCTCACCCGGAGTTGGCAAAACGGTATGGGGTTGTGGGATCCGCCACGTTGGTAAACGCAGATGGGGACCGATTGTTTATGCAGATGTTTAACCCCCACAATACCCCCGCGATACTGCGACGGCGCACCCCGATAGCCACAGTACACCCCCTGCACGCACGCCACTCTAACGACTCGGTGTTCGCACTCTGGGCTGAGGACCCCGGTCGTCCTGAGGGTGAGCAGGACCTGGCCTGGCGAGTCGGCCCGACTCCCCGAGCCGAGGTCGTTCCCCTGCTCGACGCGTTACATGTACCATGGGCGGACTTACCTAAGGGAGAGGCCGATCGGCTGCGCGAGTTACTGCGGGAGTATGCCGACGTGTTCAGCGAACACGACTCGGACGTGGGTCGGACCGACCTTGTTAAGCATCAAATTGACACCGGTGCAGCCCGACCCATCAAACTCCCTGCGTACCGAGTGGGCGCACCCGAACGCGCCCAAATCAAAGAGGCAGTTGGGGACATGCTTCGCGATAACATAATTCAGCCCTCGGCGAGCCCCTGGTCAGCCCCGGTGGTACTAGTAACGAAAAAGGATGGGTCAACCCGGTTCTGCGTCGATTACCGTAAACTAAACGCAGTCACGCTCGGCGATGCCTTCCCCATACCTCGCATCGACGACACCTTCGACAGTCTCGCAGGAGCGCGGTATTTTTCCACCCTCGATCTGGCATCCGGTTACTGGCAGGTGGAGATGACGGAGGAGGATCGGCCAAAACAGCATTCACCACCCCGATGGGCCTGTTTGAGTTTCGAGTGTTGCCGTTCGGACTCACCAATGCGCCCGCGACGTTCCAGCGGCTGATGGAGTTGGTGATGCGGGGCTTGCATTGGGAACAGTGCCTGATTTACTTGGACGATGTGATAGTGTTCAGTAGATCTTTGTCTGAGCATTGGTCCAGGCTTCGAGAGGTGTTCCAGCGACTGCGAGCGGCTCATCTCAAGCTCAAGCCACGTAAGTGTTACATCGCACAACGCGAGGTGGGGTACCTCGGGCATCGCGTCAGCGAGGCAGGCGTGCACACCGATCCGGAGAAGGTACGCGCCGTAGTGGAGTGGCCACGGCCAAGGAATCTGACGGAGATCAGATCATTTTTGGGGCTTGCCACCTATTATCGTCGATTTGTAAAGGGATTCAGCGAGATTGCACGCCCCCTCACCCAACTCACTTCCCCTAAGCACCCCTATCAGTGGACGGGGGCCTGCCAGACGGCCTTCACCACTCTCAAAGACCACCTCACCCACGCCCCCACCCTTGCTTTCCCCGATTTTACCACCGATTTTATTTTGGACACCGACGCCTGCAGCAGCGGGCTGGGCGCGGTGTTGTCACAGGTACAGGATGGGACGGAACGAGTCATCGCGTACGCCAGCCGGACCTTGAGTGGGGCCGAGCTGAACTATTGCGTGACCCGCCAAGAGTTGTACGCCGTGATTTTCGCATGTAAGCAGTTCCGGCCGTATTTGTACGGCAGGAGATGTCGCGTACGCACTGACCATTATGCTCTGCAGTTTCTTCTTACATTCAAGGAGCCGCGGGGGCAGATGGCCCGGTGGTTGGCGCAGTTGCAGGAGTACAACCTGCAAATCGAGTATCGGGCTGGCCGGACGCATGCAAACGCGGACGCTTTGTCGAGGCGACCCACGGTGTACGCCGAGACGAGGGCGGAGGAGGCCTGCCCGTGTTTCACGGGGGGACGCTGCCGGCAGGCAACGGACCCCCGAGAGGCCGCGGCCACTGACCCCCCCCCAGCGAGGAGAGAGTGCAGTGTGCGCCACAGAAACCCTCACAGGTGGCACTGAGGATCCCGTCGACCGCCCGGCAAGCGCGGGACCCGCGGCTCGGGACCCGATCGGACGGATCCAGGAGGACGTCGGCTGCGCCTTCCCGGGCCTAAACGACGAGCAGCTGAGACAGACCCAGCAGCGAGATCCGGATCTGGCGGCAGTGGAGGCGGCACTGCGGGAGGAAAAGAGCGCCCTACCAGGACCCTGGAGCGGTTTGTATGCCCGGTTGTGTGTGCGGAACGGAGTGGTACGGGAGTTAACCGAGGCCGGCCAGCCGGGGTGCATCTGTGTTCCTGCC